TCTGGGTGAAACTGCAAGTTTAAGTTCGGTCCACTTTTATTCATCGTGAGCGCCCTCTGCTGCGCCTCCGGATGAACTACAGGTTCATCTACCGTGGGATTAACAGGAAGTGACGCCACTGAAACCAGCTAACTTTGTCCTGGAGACGGTTTGTGTGGCTGGCGGGAAACCAGTGAAAGCAGGTAAACCATCAGTGTTTGATCCCAGGATGAAATGCAGACAGCTGCGATGGATCCAGCGGACGAGCCTCCGTCGATGTTGTGGGGACTGGATCCGGTGTTTTCCGCCTTCGCTCGGCTGTATATCAGAGACATCCTGGAGATGACGGAGTCCACCCAGGTACCAGGTAACAAACTGGACCTGTACTCACCTTTTACTTGGTCGTCACTCCTGAAGCTCTAATTTGAAATTAGATTTTGTTAAAGCTCCTGTTAGCCTGCACCACGCATTTTGCAATATTTTACATTTATTTAGCTCCTTTATTTTTATTTTAGCATTTATTGTAGTTATACCGTTTTAAATCCTCCGTTATTTCATTTCAACTACACCACCTGATGGTGTGCCAGGTGTGATGTGTTGTAGTTCCTGTCAGCGCATAAATGTAAACCCTGCGGGGTCAGGCCCCATGTGATGACGTGCAAAAACACAACAAAGAAACGCAAACATTTGCAAAGTTGTGCCAAATAAATCTGTGATATCCAGACTGATATCACAAAGTTTTTACTGTCTGGAGACACACCTTCACCTTTAATGATCTGTTTTCCACTCAAAGGGATTTACTTCTACAACCTGCACCCGATCTCCAAAGTCGATGTGCTGGGAACGGTGGTCTACAAGAGGGAGAGGGAAGACTTCTTCTGCTATGGAGGTGCTCTTCATCAATCACTCCCATTGTGGAGTTGTGCTCCTCACTGCTGTAGTCGTGAGACCTCACGATTGTATTCTGGTCACATGTGCTCTGTTTTTGTCTCCGCCCACGCTCTGCTGCTGCGTCTCACAGTGGATGATGGTACGGGCGTTATAAACTGCCTGTGCTGGAAAAGTGACGTCCTGAAAGAGGAGCGGGAGCCGAGCAAGTGTGAGTTCATGTTTGTATCTCAGAGTTAGCGTGGCGTTGCTTTCAGTTTGTTCAGTAAAATGAAGCGCTCTGCCGCCTGCAGACATGTCCTTGTCCTCCTTTGTCAGCCTGGTGATGCTTCAGATGCAGAATCGATACAGAGCGAGTGTC